TTATTATTATTATTATTATTATTATTATTATTATTATTATTATTATTTTCCAAAGCCACTGCTGAAGGTGTTTCACGACAGCTACCTTTTTTATTCCGCCCTTCAACTCCTGGAATCCTCTCCTTCCCAAGTTTTCCAACCACTCATTCATTCATAGGTATCGCGGGAAGGAAACGAAGGCGGGTCTCCTTTGTGAATGGACGGAAGTTTTCACAGAAAAGGGAAAACCCGAACGTCTGGAGCCAGCTGCTGCAGATGGGAAGGGATCAAGACCCCTCCGCCCCCACCTCCCCTCCTTCCCGTTCCTGTGTATTCAGTGTTTCGAAGCAGGGAACGGGAAACAGGTCTCCGCTGAACGGGAGAGGGGAAAGAACCAAAGGTGGGGAAAGGCGAGCCGGAAGCGGGCGGTGCTAGATCATCCCCGTGAGCGGAGGGGTTTTTGTTTTTTCTTTTCTTTTCTTTTCTTTTTTCTTCCCCCGCTCCCCGAATCAGCCTCGGGGAATTCCGGCACGGCCACTCGGTTCGGAAAGGGATCCTGCCATTCATCGGGACGGGGAGAAGCAACGGGACCCAATCGGAGCGCCTTGGTCCATGCCTTCCCTTCCTTCTTTCGCACCTTTCGCAGAGCGAGGCTCAGACACGCTTCTCTCTCCCCCCACCCCACCCCACCCACCCCGGACGAGGAAAACGCGGGGAGACACGTCTGAACGCACCGACGGGCCGATGATACGGGCGAACCCCCCCCCCCGCCTGCTTTCAGACAGACAGGAGGGCGGGCGGTGGGGGGGGGGGTGTCTGGCCACCAACTTCCAAACGGGACAGGACTGGGGGGAACAACTCGGAGGTGGCTGCTGTCTCCTCCCCCCCTCCCCCCCCCCACACCCCGTCCAAGGGAGGAAGGGGCGCAGAGGGTGGAGGAGGGTCTCTGAACCCACCCGCCCGGCTCGAGGGAACCTTCCCGGGGTCCGCCGCCCGCCTTTTCGCCGCCCACTCACCACAAAAACCGAACTCCGCACCACTTCGGAGACGCTTTGCCGCAACTCGGCGGCTGTGCCCGGCTTGCTGAGCGCCCGCGTGAACTTCCGAGTCTCCGAGGAGGAGAAGGAGGAGGAGGAGGCGGCGGCGGCGGACTGAAGAGACATCGTCGCCATCCTTCCCGCCTCGGTCCTTCCTCCCTCCCGGAGACCGAGCCCGGCCCGGCCACCTCTCAGGGCGCTGCCTCGCCGGCGCTGGGGCGCCCCATCCCCCTCCCCTGCTCGGTAGTCCCTCGTCAAGCGCAGCCGTCCGATCCGCCCGCCGGTGCCTCTCGTGTCGCAATTGGCTCGGCGCCGGCTGGCCTCGCGCCGCCGCTCCTGTCAGGTAGCCCCTCCCTTTCGCGAGGCACCGCCCGCCGCCGCCGCCGCCGCCGCTGCTGCTCCCCTGGCTCCAAACACTGGCACGCTCGGGAGGCAGCGATCCCTCGGAGAGCTGATTGGCCCAAGCGGAATGGAGGAGGCGTGGCCCTGTTCTTACCAGTAAGACGTGGTGTCGCTTTAAATAAAAGTGCGCGGTGTCCGCCTAAACCCATTTCTTTACACGGACTCTGATTGGGCAATGCGATTACCTGTGCGGTTGCCCCATTGCTCCCCATCCAAGGAGTAGTCCCCGCCCCCTGCTAAAGGCTTGGGGCGTGGCCAGCGAAGAGCGGAAATTCCATTCCCTCCCAAGCAATGACCTCGTTCCCCCCCCACTCCCCAGTTAGACTTTTCGTGATCTGGTCATTTAGGGAAGGAGAGCAGCGCGGAAGGGTCCTTTTCACACAACCGCATCATTCTGGGATTTGTTTTCCTGCCTCTTAGAGCAGACATCAAAAATCCAAGCGTGACGGCTCCATTCAGCTCACGGAGCTCCAAATAAATAAATTACGCCTGTGTGGACGTAACGTAAATGAAAATTGCCTTTCTTTTAATATGGGCAACTATTGAGACAGGCATTCAAATATAGTGGACTTCCAAATCACATGAATACTCCCCTTCAAAAAAATTTTTAATCAAAAGCGGCATTTTTAAAATAGGCGTTTTAATGCAATACTTGTAGGCGTTTGCAGAAGTTCCATTTTCATCACCTATCACGAAGCGAGTTCTCACAAGCAGTGATCCTTTGACAGCTCTGAGCTCTGGTATACATATACTGTTACTACTACTTTAAAAATTTAATAGAGTCAGGTCATGGCTTTGATCCATAATAATATACTCTCTACTATTTTTTAAAAAAAACCCTAATCTAGCGGAAAGTCAAGTCCAGGTAGTCCTCGACATGCAACAGTTCATTTAATGGCCAAAGTTACAACAGCATTGAAAAAAGGGACTTATGACTGTTTTTCACAGTTTTTATAGAATACAATACAATACAATACAATACAATACAATACAATACCTTTATTGTTATTGCATTCCACGAATACAATGAAATTTGAAGTTCTGACCTTTGCACATGCTCCATGATCATGTGGTCAAAAAAATCAGATGCTTGGCAGTTGGTTCATCCTTATGACCGTTGTTGCTGTGCCTCAAGGATGTGTGATCTCCTTTTGTGACAAGCAAAGTCAAGGGGGAAGCCAGTTTCACTTAACAACTGGGTTAGCAACTATCAATTACAGTGATTCACTTAACAACCGTGGCAACAAAGGTCGTGAAATAGGGCAAAACCCACTTAACAAATGTCTCACTTAGCAACAGAAATTTTGGGCTCCATTGTGGTCATAAGTTGAGGACTAGCTGTACCTTTCCATGTAATAAAAATACATTTTCCTATTACTCAACTGTATTATGAAACTGGAATAACTTCACCACCCTTTCGTATTGCATTGAGATATCATACACAAGCACATAAGGGGTAGATATTGTAACATCATAATGCACATTTTGTCATTTTGGTAAAACATCTGGTTTATTGCAGGGAACAGTATGTTGCATTTTATATACTTGTAAACTATGAGTTATACAATTTTGGTGCCATATAAGTTGTATTGTTGATGCCAAATCTTCACAACCATATATATATAATGGTCTGTCTCTGATCTGATTTTGTGGTGTTCCAACAGTAAACTCATTGCCACTGTAACTGAGTCAACCACCTTGTCGCTAGTCTTTTCCTTTTTTTTTCTTCCCTTTTTCCTAGCATGACAGCTTTTTCCAAAATAAACTAGGTCTTACTTTGCATAATGTGTCCAAAATAAGATAATTTGAGCCTGGACATTTATGCCTGAAATGAAATTCTTATTGATGTGAGCGATAATCCTTTAGTTTATTTTCTTGGCTAAATACATTCAATACATTAAATACATTAAAGCAGCTTAGGGAGTGTAGCTAACTGGAACTGGCCTCATTTTTCATATATCCAGCTTACAAGATATCTGCTGTTCAGAACATATTTATTAATTCACTGAGATCCCATCACCTCTACTGGACTTTCACATTAACTGAAGAAGGGCAGAATGAAATAAACCTCCCCTGAGTGATCTATAGCTTCTTATAGACTCATCCGTGCATTTCTGTGGTGATAGAAAATTTCTCTTCATTACCGATATCAATGGTTGGATGATGCAGCAAGACCCTATAAATTATTAGAAGTAGAAATGGCCATACACTGGTTAAAAAAAAAAAAAGTTATGCTTCACACTTCTCTTTTCCCAAATGATAGGAGAAGTGAAGTTCAATTCCTCTCTCAGTTTCTTCCCATCTCCTCTTGCCTTACTTTGAACAGACCTCTCTCAAAGAAAAGAAATGGCACAGATTCTTGGTCGAGCTGCTTGTGCAATTTCTGCTTCATTAGATTAGAATACAATAAAAGAGGCAGTAAATGAACAGTAAGTGCCACTTAACACCTAAACCAGGGGTCCCCAACCTTGGCAATTTTAATACTTGTGGACTTCAACTCTCAGAATTCCTCAGCCAACCAGCTATGATGGCTGGAGAATTCTGGGAGTTGAAGTCCACAAGTCTCAAAGTTACCAAGTTTGGAAACCTCTGACCTAAACCCATAAAAAAATTCAGAGTAGCTGTTGCTTCCCACAGGAAAAATGTAAAGCTGAAATCTGCCTAGTTTCAAATGGGCCACCTTGAAATCCTCTTCAGTGCTTTTGAACTAACTATGAGTACAGGTAGTTCTTGACTTACAACCATTCCAAGTTACCACAGCATTGCAATAAGTGACTTATGAGCATTTTTCACACTTATGAACATTGCAGTTTCTACAGCTTAAACATATCTAAAGAAAAGTATTTCACACAGAACAGTTGACTAAGCTTGGACCTCTGCCAGCAAGCAATTTTTCTTTTACATTCTCAAGTCAAATCCTGTTTCTTTTTAAAATAGTAGTGGCTGTTATGTATCTTCTCCAAACAATAAGTTCTAATTGACTCAGAAATAGAGATCCTGTATTATATTTGCTATTTTTAAAAATCAGCTATTTATTCATAAATAGCTGACCTTTAAAAAAGTATATTCTTCCGGTAGAGAAAACACCCTGCTAACAAAAAATTTTCAAGCTATTGGTAGTTTCCTTTTTTTTGCCATGTGTGTACATGTAGTCCTCAACTTACAACAGTTCATTTAGTGACCATTCGCAGTTACCACAGCATTGAAATCAATGACTTATGAGTGAATTTCATACTTATGACCATTGCAGCATCCCCATGTAATTCAGGCCCTTGGCAACTGACTCATATTTATGACAGTAGCAGTGTTCTGGGGTCATGTGATCATCTTTTGGTACCTTCCGGCAAGCAAAATCAATGGGGAAGCCAGATTCACTTAACAACCATATTACCAACTTAACAACTGCAGTGATTCAGTGGCAGGAAGGTTGTAAAATGAGGCAAAACTACTTGCCTCACTTAGCAAGAGAAAGAATGAGCTCAATTGTGGTCATAACTCAAGGACTACCTGTAATTTGGTGAAGGGCAGTGAATTAGAGGACATGTTTAATATTGATAAGGTGTATAAGATGAAATGCATGCCCTCATTAACTGAATAGAGAGAAACAGAATGCAATTCAGAGCAAAATAAGTAAGTTGTCCAGGGAGAAATTTGTGTGTCTGTATGCAAAATCTCTCTCTCTCTCTCTCTCTTTCTCTCTCTCTCTCTCGCACACACACACACACACACACACACACACACACACTTATGTATCTTTCTTATCCATACTCCCCATTGGTGATGTACAACTTTATCAATAAAATTAAAATCAGAATTAATTTAAAATTAAAAAGTTTTAAAATTATAAAAATAACATTACAAAATTTCAAAAGGCGAGTTTTGGGGAATTCTCAGTTGCTAATACAGGTAGGGGAATTCTCATGGAGCCAGGCAGCTCCATGATTGTATGAGCCTCTGTGTCCTCCATGCGAGGCCGCACAGCCAAATTTCGACCCCTCTGTGGAAGTCCAAGAGAGCTGGGGCCTGCCTCATCTCCGAGGGAAGGATGTTCCGCAATGCAGGGGCAGTGGCAGAGAAGGCTCTCTTCCTAGACCCCGCCAATCAAAATTCTGTAGCATACCCTCCCTGCCTGAACGAGTGAGACAGGCTGATATAATGGGACGAAGGTGGTTCCATAGGTTACCTATTTAAATTACGATAAATATTAATATAAACAAATGCATGCAAATATGTTGCATTCATTTTGTTCTTTTCAGTGATGCATGTTCTCTTCTTAGACAGTGTATACATGACACAGCCAAGCACATCTAGGTTTTCTGGAGTCTTCCTTCTCTTTTGACATCAGACAAAAGGTGGAGAGTCTTTCCCATCAATAGCTGTTTAGCCAGAGCCATGCAATAATAAAAAAGATACTTTCAATAATAATGCATTAGATCAGGAGTGTCAAACTTACTTTCATCAGGGTTGTGTTTGACGCAGGGGACCGGGATGGGCATGGCCAGCTCAATGTCACTCATGTCGGGGGTGACTGTGGTGACCCAAATGCTCTGCCAGCAAAAACAGGCTCCCAAGCTCCATTTCTGGCTGCCATGGCCTCCTGCAGCCCACTGCCAACGAAAATGGAACTCGGGAGGGCCACCCTCCCAAGCTCTATTTTCACTGACAGAAGCACCATGGGCCGGTTTCCAGGGTTGCCCCATGGGCCAGATCCAGCCCCATGCCTTGAGTTTGGCACCCCTGCATTAGATTATCTTACGCCTAAAGGGATCCAAATCTGTAGAATTTGAGCAGAGCTAAATTTAATTTTAATAAAACAAAAATTAGTATGACATGAATCTGCTATGGTTTTCCCGGCAGTAATGTATGGCTGTGAGAGCTGAACCACACGGGAG